ATATTATCATCGCCCCATCAGTCCAAGCTGCGCCCCATTAGTCCAAAAGCTTGAAGAGTTCTGATTCAAAAGCCCCCTGTAAGCCGAATTCACGGCCAAAACATGTTTCGCCACCCTGGCACATGGGATGTGTTGAGTGCAGGAAATGATGCAAATGATGCGCGGGCCACTGAATTCGGATGCGGACTTGCAGAAAACCCCACCGTCAACTACGCGACAAGCCCTACTACTAGTGCTTGTGCTAGTACTAGTATTATTCATTTTGCCACTACTACCTCTGCTGCTACTACTGCTACTACTACTACTACTACTACTACCACCATCACCACCACCACGACGACGACTACGACTACTACTACTACTACTACGCCTACCATAACTGCTACTAGTAGTGACAGCACTAAGTTTTGCAGTGGTAGTAGTAACAGTAGTGGGAGTAGTAGCAGTGCAGTAGCAGTCCTATTACGAAGATTATTGTGATGACTGCAAATAGGACGACTATGGGACTACGAGGATTGCTATCGTGTTTACGACGGCGATTGCTACGACTGCTGCGATCACCACGACTGCGACAAGACAACGCCCACGACTACAAGAAGAAGGAGGAGGAGGAGGTGGCGACGACGACGCGCGCGGCGATTACGACCACGGCAACGGCAGTGGCGACGACGACGTAGACGTGGATGTGGCCGCTGATTTTTGATATTGTTGCGACTATCTTCAGTGTCAGTATTTGTACCACCTTTGCACTTAGTTCTATTGCTTCTACCATTCGGAACACTAGACCCTCGAACTGTGATTTTGACTGCAGCAGGATTTGGAGTCCGAGCTGCGCAGCACTGCGACATCTGCAGGTTCTTTTCAGTTTGTCTGGCAATGCTTAAAGAGTAGATGTGATTCTGTAATTTATCTGCGGAGGTCCGTTTATCGACCTTGTGTTTTTGAGATTGGTTCCAGGGAGAGCACAGGTTTTCCAGCAACACTTGAGCGACAGAGGTTACGTGTTGTCATCCGTAGCCTCAATGCCAAAGAACTAAATCCTTGCAATTACAGTATCATAACCCCCTCTAGTCCTTATGTAACCCCTATATTACCCCTATAAAGTCCCTAGATATCCTCAGATTTCGCTGGGCGTTTTTAGGGACCTCAGGTCCACGGGACAGCTGCGCTTGCTGTGCCAAGGTATAGGGACCATATAGGGGTAATATGAGCCATAATCTAAAGTCCTTAAAAGGGCCTATATAGGGGATTATATAGGGACTGCTATAGGGGTTATTAAGGGGGATACTAGGAGTTTAGGTTCTATAGGGACCCAGGCCAACCAAGTAGAGGAGTTAGGAGTTCACGGTTTAGGGTTTAGGAGTAATATTGTAGGGTTACACATGGGTGATATAGGGGTTACATAGGGATAATTTGGCAAGTATGCCATAGGTACTGCCCCCACGCAGTAACAGTTGGATGACAATTATAATTACAATATATACAGTCCTTGAGAAAGAAGATCCCGATTAATGACTACTACTAGGTGGGGGCAGCTCCCAAGGTATGCCGGGAGTTTTGCCAAGATTTTTTCTCAGGATGACTACAGCCAAGAAGGCGGCCATCCCTGCCCGCAGCAAACTCACAGATTCCTTAAATCCCACACGATATAGTCCCCCTTAAGTAGATAGAATATGGGGTATATGCGGATCTTACTATAATATACCCAAAGCCATATTCTGTCTACTTAAGGGGGACTATAAGCTTACGCATGCTGCGTGTGCTTTATGCTTGGAACCATGAACTGAATTCCTGCGTCGCTATATTTGAGGATGAATTTCCAAAAGCGCCCAAACCACAATGAGATTGCAAACATGTCCTACCCGGGCTGGGGTTTGTCGTCTAAATCCTACACTCTAAATTGGATGATTCGTCCTTACAGTATCGGTTACTACGATGTTATAATAGCGCCTTTCTAAGATCCCTTTAAGGACAATTACCGTAAGGGGGAATGACCCCAAATTCTAAAACAATCATCATGCGGCAGGCTCAGAGAAACAAAGACCGCCCTGTACCCGCCTGCTGCCAAACCGACGAGAGGTTGAGGGATTAGGATTTTGGTTAGGGTTTAGGGGTTAGGGTTTAGGGGTTTAGGGTTTAGGATCTAGGGGTTTAGGGTTTAGGGTTAGGATTTAGGGTATAGCATCGAAGAATAAGTTAGTGCTGTTTTTGACGTAGAAGCCATGTCTGGTGAAATGATGATCTACCTGCCCACCGCAGGTTGTTGTGGTTTCTGCATGAGCTGTCCTAACACGAGAGGCGTTTCAAGCCTTTAATTGGGTCACTCCCCAACCCAGGAAAGGATTATTGTTGGTATCTGAACGCCCCATTAACTTTAGATTCAGGGGCTATTGCTGTAGGGGGATTGACCTAAGCCCTTCAGCACGTTTCCGACATGTACGTCTTTGCTTCACTGAGTGCTTTCTGCTCGGCTGTTGCACAGTATACTCAGTCTGCCAACCCAGCGCCTTGAGAAGCAGCTGGGTGTGTTCTCAAACCAAATTAGCATTTTCTGATTTACAACAATAAGTATAGTAATAGTGATAATAATAACAGTCAATAGTAGTAATAATAGCACTAATGATAACGCTAATAATCTCTGTGTGAACCTCTGCGATGTGACTATGGCCTCCCACCCGTTCCCGCAGATCTTGTGCAAAGGGCCAGGCTTGAGTCAGCGTCACCCGTCAGCTAGCGTGCCGTTGAGTCGACATGCTTGTGTGTCAAGTGGAGCTACGGGGGGCAGCCCTGCCGCCGAGCATGCAGCAAAGCATCTTAATTATGCTTCGTAGGCATGCCGCCTGATGTATCCTGCCCTTCATCACTTTCGCTTGCATTTCGCACGCCGCTGTCCAGTCAGCAGCCTTTTGTTGGCTTATGCCATATGCCATAGTTTTCAGTTTTGAGCTTGTTGAAGACGGTGTGCCAACCATGCATCCAATGCGCGCCTTTGTCATTGTTTGAACGGTAGGGCCCCGTTGGTCTGTAGTAATGTCCATTTTCTTTTCCATTATCCCCTATATAACTCCTATATAACCCCTATAAAGCCCAGTCATAAATTATAATATGGAATAATGTATCGCATAACATACCAGAATATACCATACTATCCTATAATATCCTATAATATACCATCATAATAATAATAATATCCGTAGGGCTCCCATGGTATGCTTGCTATCTCTTAGGAATCCCAGCAGCTTTCCAGCCATTTAGCCTTTTGTGTTGTCCAGCATCACATTCGGGTTGTATTAGGGTTATGTTGGGATTAATTATAAGGTAAACTATAGGGGTTATAGCGATTTCAGGGAATTAGGGGTTAAATTGGGGTCATATAGGGGTTACATTGGGGTAAAATTAGGGTTATATTGGGGTTTTATTGGGATAATGTAAAGGAAAGTGGAAACTACTATATTACCCAGGGATTATATATGTTTTATATAGCGGTTATATGGGGATAATGGAAAAGACAACTGAAATTATTATTATGGTATATTAGGGATCCCTTTGAACAGGCTCAAATTTCGAAAGCAGGGGGCTGGCGAGTGGCGCCATGCTGACTGCTTGCCTGTGCGTTGGAAAGCTGCAAAGAACAAGCAGGAACAACGGTGCCCATGAGCGATGTGTCCGAGATCATGGACAGTCTTTGCACCACCCACCTTGTGTTGGGCCACTACCATCGAAAATGGACTTGCCGTACTTGGTACCGGTTGTTTGCGCACCCGCAGGTTTTGTTGTGTGGTTTACCCCTCGTGCACATAGCTGTGTTTGACGCAGGCTGGTCGTCGCGGTGGTCGTAGAATTAGCTCTAGTGCAGAGCTACTACCAGTGCCTGCTGGTGCTGCTGCTGCCGTTGTCCTTCATATCAGTAGTTTGGGTCCTTTACTTCCGTATACTGACATTCAAGCTCAAACTCGAAGCCCTAGACCCCAAACCGCAAGCATGCTAATGCCCAAGCCCCAGCTGTCCAGGCCCTCTCAAACCCTTCCTGAGCTTCATGTTTACATCCGTGCCCAAGGTAGCCTTGACGATTGACAGCTACAATGCTATATACTAAAAGGTTCCATGGCCTCTACGCTGAGAAACACCCCAAGCATCTCAGGCGGAGAAACTTCTGCGCTACCGCCTCTTCCGCTTTCCGCGCGCTGAGGCCGCAGGAGTATCCGTGGGAGAAAAGCTTTTTATTTGCTGACGTTGCCTCAAGGTTTGCAAGTTTTTCGATCTTTTGCTGGTGCCACCGTCACCGTCTTGCCCCAGCCACCATCCGAGGTTGATATTCGTCAAGTGTTGAGACAATTTGTTGAGAAACTCATGGGCGTCAAGGGTGCAAGAGCTTAGGCTTGGTGCCAGCGTAAAGCATCGCGGGCTCTAGGGTTCTAGCTGCCCACTGATGTTTCAGCCATCATAGGAGCAGCGCTTTACCCTGCTCTACTCATTTCTTTCAGGTCCTACCAGCTCAAAACTACCTCTGCCAAACAGGATTTGCAATCTTTCTTCTGTTTCTCGGGCAGCTGGTGGCGGACACCTTCAGTAAGTCTGCCAAGCTGCGCACCTCACCTAGATTTCATGCCCTCAGTCTCGTGAGGTAAAGGCACTGACCCCACGCAAGTTGATGCGGAGAGAAGCGGTGCACATCAAAACATCGAACCACCAAAGTACAAGTTTTACTAGTAGTGCTCAGGAGCGATTGTGGGTTAACGTAAAGGTTGTAGGGATGTTGAGTATGACAAAGCCTGTCTGACCCTCCACGTGGTTCACAGGCTGTGCCAGATGCGCACACCAGTCGCCGAGGGCCTGAAGCGCACGAGCCTCAGTGTGGGTAATGGTAGTTGTGGTAAAGATTAGCCTTTTTTTCTTTTCGCCGGTGGTCATGGTATTCATGCTTCCTGTTTGGATGTTTGCGGACATCATTTCTAGCGTTAGACGTTGATGTGTGAGGTCTTGTCCTTGAGGAGTGATATGGATGGCTTTTCACGGGGTTAGGGATAGGCTTCCTCAAGGGCAAGCGAAGTTGCTCCCAGGGTGCTAAAGCCTTGTACTGGGTACCAGCATTCCATTTTCTACCCAAGGATCATAGTTAAGGATAGAAATCCCAAAACGGATCGTTTAATTTTTGGAAACCTAAACCGGAAGCAGTATATATTCATATACGCCCCTTTTGTTGAAACAGACCTGCAATCGGGACCAACAACCCCAAATCCCAATTGGTGTAGAACAGTTTGGGCATAGGAATTGATTTATGAGATGCTGAGTAGAATTTTGGGTAGGGGCTTAGGGTCGAATCCAAAGCTTGTCTTTTAGCGAGTTGCCAGGTTTCTGTTGAGAAACTTGAAGTAAGGGTTTTGGCAAAGGCTTTAGGGTAAGACGCCCAGACACCAGCGAATGAATATGGGACAATGCGGCTCCCTTAAGCACAGAACAAAGGTTTTCATGGCAACCCAGACGCGATCCTACTTTCCCAACACAACTTGGGGCCTCAAGAGGAGCCCTATAAAGGCTTCTGTCGTTTTGAAGGTACGCCATATGGGAGGAATAAGCTTGTGTGTTCCAATGCTTGTGATAGTATGAAAGCTCAGGCCGATTTTTCAGAAACAAAGGCGGCTCATTGTTTTGTTTGTTTTTTTTTGATGGCTGGTGTTTGTTGGTTATTCCTTACAAACCATGGGCTGTGCTATCCCTGCATGGGGGCTATTAAAATCAGGGTCAAGCGTGTCCAAAGCAGAACACATTTTTGACCAGTCCCGCTAGAATTACTATTGACAGGCGCGCTTCAAAGTGAGCACATGCAGATGGCGAACGTCTCACTCTGTTGGCATCTCTTTTTTTTCACTGGAGCTTTTCAATACCATGAGCAGCCTCTATACCACGAAATCAGGGGATAGGCAGGTTGATAGCAGATGTCAAAACAGATTGGCTGTAACATGCAGCCTGGCAAAGAAGCCTGTGGAGATCCGGTGTGTAGAAATGCATATGCTGAGCTCACGCATGCAGACATGTCACCTGCTGAGATTTGTCATTGAGAGTAGTGCTGCTGTTGCTGTTGGTGCTGGTGCTGCTGGTGATTTTGCTGCTGGTGATAGTTTTGCTTGTCTTGGGTCTGGTGGTGGTGGTGCCGGTGCCGGTGGTAGTGCTGGCACTGGTGCTGGCACTGGTGCTGGTGGCGCTGCTGGTGGTGCTGGTGGTGCAGCTGTTGCCGCTGCCGCCTAACAAAATGCTGCGTATTACCCCGCTACACCCGCCACAATATCACAGCGACCACTGCACTTGATATTGTAAGTGTTTTTGCTCTTCATAGTTTTTACTTCCCGGCATGCTGCAGGTTTTTACAGAGGTTCGGACTTGTCGGCCCCTTGCCCCAAAGCCTCAAAGCGATGGCGCGCACCTCCACACTCTCCGTGGCTTTGGTGCTTGGCCGGGTATTCAACAACAGACGGTTGAAGCAGGAATAACTGGCAGCATCGGGGAGATGTAGTCGTCAAGTGTCGGACAACTGCATGAAACTCCAGGGGCTTCGGGGTTGCATTCGTTAACGGCCACCATGTCTCAAAGTCATCCTTGTACAATCCTCAGAGGTACGCCCTGCAATTCCTTTATCAATAGCTGTCCGGCCCGGTCCCGAAGGTCCTCCATATTTTGATGAATGCGATGTATGGCGGCGACCAATGCTATTTTGCGGCTTCTTTCTTGGCCTTGGGGACATTGTTCTGAGAGACTTCCTGGTCGCCTAAACAAGCGCGTTGAAATGCGCTCATATGAAGGTGGATACAGGTATTACGAGGGGACATATTGGTTACATGAGCGGTACAGTTTCAGGGTCGAGTTTGTTGAGCGCAGGCTGTGGCAGGATCAGTGAATATCCACTTCTTAAGTGTTTCAGTGGGACCTAAATCCAGAACATGTGACCAGAGTTTCTCAAAACTACAATCTCCAGTGGGGCCTTCGAATTTTCTTCGTATCCCTGTAGACCCCACAAGGGCCCTAAACCCTAAGCAGGATCCTTTGCAGGCTTTGCTCTTCTTGAAGGGCACTCTTTCAGCCCGATGTTTCTGCATATGAGCTATTGTCTAAAATCCTTAAAGGGGGTTAAATAGGAGATAAGATAGGGGCGTATTATAGGGGTTATTGAGGGGATGCTAGGCAAAAGCTTGCAATTGGCCTGGTCCAACGTCAAGTGTGACACGAAGCTTCAGTCATTGTGGGCTTTGGATGATAGGAGTTTAGGCGAAGGCTATGGCTCATATAGGAGTGTCATGACGTATCCTTTAGGTTGCTTTGGCCCTTACAATGGGGATCCTCAAAGCGGATGCATCTTGTTTAACGAGCCCTAAAACTACATGAGCTATAGTCTAGACTCCTCAAACGGCATTCTATGGGGTACTAGTATAACTAGGGTTATTCAGGAGGATGCCAGGAGTTTAGACTATAGCTCACATGCCCTTTTCTTGTCCCACATAGCCAGCAGTCATGCGAGCAGAGGCCTAGGCCCTAAGCTGTCTATAACCTTTCCACCATCTGGGCAGTCCTCAAAACATCCCAGCCCCAAAATCTTTCGGGGCCCAGCCCTAATTAAGCGCTGAGCCTTGTGTGGGGCAATCCAAACCCTAAGCCCTAAACCCTTGTTCTGTGGAGACTTAGGTGCTCTTCGCCGCCTGCGCCGTGTTCCAGCGTTGGGCCCCAACCTTCGCACTTTCGGTTGCGATTGGTATGTGCTGAATCTGCAACCTCTCATTTTGTGTTTGTTGGGGGGGGGGTAGGTTCTATTATTTGGCGTGTTCGTTGTTAAAAGAAGCCTTTTTTTTGGCAGCTCATGGAAAACCATCGTTTTTTTCTGTGTCTCGATGGCTCCTGGAACCCTTCAAGATTTAGAGTGTTCATGTTGCCAGGCTACATCCCTGGGCTAACAACAAGCCCTCTACCCCATGCCCTGTAGCCCTCAGCCATACATCCTGTACCCCATGTGCTAAACCGCAAGCCCTACATCCCTAAACCCTTAAGCCTAAACCCTTCAGCCCTAAACCCTTAAACCCTGAACCCTTAAACCCTACACCCTTTACCCCTAAATCCTTCAACCCTAAAACCCCAAACACCAAACCCTGCATCCGAAACGCCCACCCCCAGATCCTAAGCCCAGGCGTTCCCGGGCCTGAGCAGGCCAAGGAGTTCCAAAAGAAATTGTATAGGGAGGAACCAGGAGTAATAATCGTGAACTAGTATTTGAAATGGCAATACTTGTAATAATCGTAACAATAGTAATAATCGTAGTAACAGTACTACTAGTAAGAGTAATAGTAATAGCATAGGCTTACCTTTGGTTAGCTAGGAATGAAGGAATGGATCCTTGTAGTAGTCCCTATATAACCCATTACAGTAGGGAAGCTAACCAAAGGCAAGTAGGGAGACATCAGGGTTTAGGTTTCAGCGGCCTTGAATTTATAGACGTCTAGGGAGTCAGAAGCATGTAGGAGTTTTAGAGTTGTGGTTCTCGGGCTGCTTGGTGCGTCGTCTTAACATTGCTTGTAAATTCAGGTATGTAGCGCCCCGAGAGGATCATTTAGATTACTCAGGCCCCCCGGTGAACTCCAAACCCCAAACTCTGAATCCTGGGCGTGAATTCTTCCCGAGACCCCCGGCCTAAAACCCTAAACCCTAAAGGCTAAGTCCTAAACAAAACCCTAATCCTAAGCCCCACGCCTTGATCCCTAAGCTTCGTTCTTTGTTGAGCAGTTTATGGTCTTCAAACCCACTAGCAAGTACACGCGGTTTAGGGTTGCGAGTTTCAAGCATTATTTCACCAAGGAACCAACAACCGCTTTTGCGGTTTAGGGTTTAGGGTTTCAAGTATTATTCCACCAAGGAACCAACAACCGCTTTTGCTATCTCTTCTCATTTACTTGTTACAGGGGAATGGAGGACTGCATCCCTATAAAAGGCCCTACGATCCATGAGAAGACAGCAGTTTCCATTTTCCTTTCCTTAAATACCAAACCCTAAGCTCTGAACTCTATAGCAGTTGCAGACGGAAAAGAATCCGACAAAGACAAGCTTTGTAGTAGTTTCAATTCCACCCAACCATTCCCTACTAACAATTTCTTTTCCACTCCCTAGTCCCAAAACCTTCAACCCCAAACTTGATAGCCGTCTCCATTTTC